AAAATCCTCAATTTCCCATTTTAAATCAAACTCAAACTACCAGATCCAATCTTATCTTCTGCCACCTAAGATCAAACCTCCTTGGAAATCCGTCTAGGCCATTAAATTATAAGCGAGCCCAGCCCAGCCCAAATCCAGCCTAGTGATTTTCTTGATGATTGGGCTTTACCTTGACACGTGGCCTTACCCTATTGGTTTATTTTAGGTGTAAACACCTTGATTTCTCCACAATTGTTTAACCACTGCAGCTTATATGGCCTTGGATGATTCATCATAGGTAAATTAAGCTTTTCAACTAAAACAGTGCTAGCTGCATTAGTACAACCACCACCATCAATAATCACACTACATACCTTGTTTTTGACATGGCACCTCGTGTGAAATATATTGTCACGTTGTACTTCATCATCTTCTTTGGCTTGCACATTCAAAGCTCACCTAGTGACAAGCAGTTCTCCATCAACGGCATATTCCACCTTCTTTTCCCACTCCAAATACACATCTCGATCATTTTTTCCTTGAAATGGAGGAATCTTCATCTTGATGCTGCCTAAGTCATGATCTTGCTGATCTCCCTACCTTGCCAGATTTTGGTCTCCTTTGTTAAATCTATATCTTTGGACCCCTCTACCTCTCATAAATCTGTCTATGCTGAAATTTGAGTTCTAGACATCATCGTTGAATGCATCTTCATCATTGTCATCAAGATTGTGATTATGCAAATTTGGACTTCCATTCTGTATTTGGTATGACTTGGCAATGGCTGCATCTTGCTTCTTTATTTTGTCTTTAATTTCACCAAACATGATGTCTAGCCTCTGAAATTGTTGTTGCATAGTTTTGAGCATGAAGGAATCATCGACTTGGTGTTTTTTATCATCACCGCTTGACATGATTGAAACCTACAAGGAATGTTAGAAACAGAAAATAAAAGGACCTCACAACACTCCCCGTGTTTCACTCCACTCTCTCATAGAATGGCACTTAACACTCGTGTTTCGCACACTGTAGAACTTGGCTTTTCTCTCAAGTGTTGCTCACACCTCTTGCCTTTTTCCCTCACTCAACTTTCCTCTTTCAATTCGTTATTGAACTAAACAAGCTCAATTCAAGTTATTTTGTAGCAATCCAACTCCAACAAATCTGCAACAAGAGTTGAAGGAAACGAAAGGACACAAAGGAACCAACAAGAAAAGCAATAAAAGAAACAAACTGAACGAATTAAAAGAAAAAAGAAAGAAAAAAATGGAAATTCGATTGAAACACAATGTAGGAAAGACAAATCAGTTCTAACACTTCCTACTGGGAATTGACTTGACTATTCCTTAATGTAGCAGGATTCCTAACGCAGGAAGGAGTAAACAAAATTGCTATCTCCTTGTTTGAATAGAATTCAAAGAAAATTTTCCAACTCCTTATTGTAGTGGGATTTCTATTCCTTAATGTAGTTAGATTCCTAACTTAGGAAGGAATAAACAAAATTGCTATTTCCTTGTTTCAACAAAATTCAAAGAAAATTTCCAACTCCTTATTGTAGTAGAATTCCTTCTTCCAACTTTTTACTAGAGTAGGATTCCTTCTTCTTTAAGGATTTGGCCACCAATTTCTTCTCTATATAAGGAATTCCAACCACAAAATTGTGTCGCTTGTTTCTCTCTCTCTTTTTTTCCCTTTTTTTTTTCTTCTTTTTTTTTTTTCTACGACTTCTCTCCTCTGATTTTTTTGCGTGCTTTTCTCTCTCTGATTTTTTTTTCTTCAGAACCAGCAACAGAGATTCAACAGAACAAGATGAAAAGAGTTGCAGACAAGAAAGAAAAGAACCCTAATTTTTTTTTTTTGATGTAAAAATTGAAAACTAAAGATACGCAAACCTGATTTAGGGATCTGATGCTCTGATACCAAGATGATAAGAACCCCAAAGAGAACAATGAGACCCACAACACGACAAGGGATTTCTAAACTCCAGGAAAGCTAAATCAGGTTTATAATAGGACCTTGACTCGTTGTTTATGTCGCAACAAGAACCAAAGGTAAAAACCTTGATCCGTTGTCTATGACGCAACAAGAACCAAAGGTATAAAGTTGGTTGACGCCACACCCTCGAACGATTAAGAACGAGAATGATAAGTCAAGTTAGAACGCCACAAGAATAATCTTGATAAGTTCTGTAAAGTTCTGAAACGAACCAAAGAGAAAAGTCTCTTAAAATCTCAGATTCAATCGCCTCCCCAATTAGGGTTCCAAGCCCCTTTAAATAGGGAAAAGTAATTCTAATCAGAATAAGAAACTAACACTCTCAGCCCTAATCATAATAACCACGAATTGGGCCTTAAATAAATGAATGTTCAGCCCAAAATAATATAAAAAACGTGAAAATCACTCAAAGTAGCCTAAAGTAACATGAAATATCAGTTTGTTACAAATTGCGACAGAATTGCGAGATTGACGCAAACTGGGTAATTTACCATAAATGACCTCAATTAAGCTTCTCTTGAACTTGAATGATGTTTATCATGCCTTGATAATCATCCAAGCTTTGATTTGCTTGTTGTATGTTGTTTTCAACCCAGATCTGCTCAATAAGGTCATTTAAAGCTTCACGCATCTTCTTAGCTCTAGCTCGCGTGACTGGACCTCCTTGGGTGTGTAATGGATCACATGACATAGTAGATATGCTGTCGTCTTGATTCCCATCATAATTTATATCTAATTTTGCACACATTTGGTAAAGGTCTCTCATTTTGATTGAATGGATCAAATTTCAGCACAATATAAGATCATTTGTGGGGGGGTTTTTTGTCTTTGTTTAAATTTAATGCTAAATGTGGGAAAAGTTGGCAAATTTTTTGACCTTGTTTATTATTATTATTATTTTTTTTTTTTATACGTAGACTAGGGATTGAATTCTAAACCTATGAGTAAGAGCACAAGCAACTTTATTGCCAAACCACAAGGCTAATGATGATTTTTATGATTTTATAATTTATATCTAATTTTGAATAAACTACGAATTGGTGGTTTGAATTGTGTTACAAAATGATGTCATTTGGATGGGTTTTTGTTTTTACATAAATGCCTTGCAAAATGTGACAAAAGATTGCTATTTTTTTGTCTTCATAGTTTACAACTAATTTTGCATGTAATTGCTAAAAGCCTTATTTAGAATGGGTTAATCGAATTTCATCACAAAATAATGTTGTTAAGATAGGTTTTTGTATTTTTGCAAAGCCCTACTAAATGTTGTAAAATTTCACGATTTTTATGATTTTATAATTTATATATAATTTTGCATATACTTACTAAGAACTTCATTCTGAATTGTTTGTTCGAATTCAAGTACAAAATAATTTCATTTGGATGGGTTTTTGTTTATGCACAAATGCTACGCAAAATATCACAAAAAATCATAATTTTTATGACTTTTATAGTCTATATCTAATTATAGACATACTAGCTAAGACCTTCTTGTTCAAATAGTGGTTCAAAGTTCATTACAAAATGATTGTTATTTGAATAGGTTATTGTCTGTATGTAAATGCCTTGCAAAATATGACAAAATTATGCTATTTTTATTTCTTTATAGTTTATATTTAATTTTGCACATATTTGCTTAGAGTCTCATTTTGATTGGGTGGATTGAATTGCATAAAAATAACAGACTGTTTCCATATGGTGTTGGCAATGCGAAAAAACAAAAAAAAACACCCAAAAAACCGCAAATTGTAATGCAATTCAATCCACCCAAACAAAATGAGACTCTAAGCAAATATGTGCAAAATTAAATATAAACTATAAAGAAATAAAAAATAGCATAAATTTGTCATATTTTGCAAGGCATTTACATAAAGACAATAACCTATTCAAATAACATCATTTTGTCTTCTCCTTTAAAAAAAAAAAAAAAAGAATTCATGCTTTTTCTCTATTTTTGTTTAGAACCAACAACACAAATTTGAAAAGGCAAACAAGAAAGAGAAGAATGACACTAATATATATGTATATATATATATATATTTTTATGTAAAAATTGACAATTAAATATATGCAAACCTGATTTAGAATCTGATGATGATGAAAACTCCAAGGAGAATAATGAAACCCACAACACGACAAGGGATTTCGAAACTTTAGGAAAGATAAATTAGGTTTATAATGAGATCTTTGACCCGTTGTTTATGTGGCAACAAGAACTAAAGGTAAAAACATTAATATGTTGTCTATGACACAACAAGAACCAGAGTAATAATGTTGATTGATGCCACACCCTTAAACAGTTAAGAATGAGAATGATAAGTTAGACTAGAATGTCATAAGAATAATCTTAATAAGTTCTATAAAGTTCTAAAACAAATTAAAGAGAAAAAAGTCTCTCAAAAACTCAAGTTCAATAACTCCTCCCAATTAGGGTTACAAACCTTTTAAATAGGGAAAATTAATTATAATCAAAATAGGAAACCAACACCCTAAATCCTAAAACCTAATAACTACGAATTAAGCTTCAAATAAATGAATGTTTAGCCCAAAAATAATGTAAAAAATGTGAAAATAACTCAAAATAACCTAAAATAAGATGAAATATCAGTTTGCTACAAATTACAGCTGAATTTTGTGATTTTGACGTAAACTGTGTAATTTAACATGAATGACCTCAATTAAACTTCTCTTGAACCTGAATGATGTTTATCTTGCTTTGATAGTCATCTAAGTTTTGATTTACTTGTTGCATGTTGTTTTTAACCCAGAAGAACTCAATAAGGCCATTTAAAGTTTCTTGCGTCTTTTTAGCTCTAACTCTAATGATTGGAACTCCTTGAATATATAATGGATCCCTTAACATGGTACATGTGATATTGTTTTGATTCCTATGACATAAAATTTACAAAAGAAAATTTTGAAAAGTGATAAAAAAAATGATAAATTTGAGCAAGGGTTTTGTAATGGGATTTCAACACCAAAACTAGTTTCAGTATGATATATGAGCACTTTGACAGCTTTCCACTAAAAAAGAATTGCCTTATAGGCCATTTGATTCAATTTGAATGGAAATCATAATCTTTTTAACTCTAATAACGAGAACATAACTTTATTTTAATGCAAAAATTGTCTCAGCTTTATTTCCTTACGAAAATTGTCTTGGCAACTGGCAACTTATGTTTAATCTGCAACAAAATAGTACTATACATATATTTAGGTATACTGTAAACTGAACTTCTCCTCCATGTATATTATACTATATGTTGATTGCATAAACTATAGTGTATCACCTAATAGTTTTGTAGACTGCTCTATATTTTTACTAGCTTCAAATCCTGGACAACTTGGATGATTAACACTAGTCTCTATTGTATAACCAATTGCCCAATTGAATCCTAATAGATTACGTAGTAGGAATGTGTCCGTCAACTAGATTATACATCAACTGTTGAAGGGAACTCTTGGCTGCGGGGTCATCCTGAAAAGGAAACCAATATGACAAAACTTTTAAAGGCATAGAACATAAAATATGATAAAACATGCCATGGTCTAAAATATTAGTGATTTTTAGTTTCTTTTTCTTATTTGGCATCTTAGTACTTTTTTCAGTCACCAAGGAACTTCCCACTTCTAGCAAACGCACTAAGCATGTTTGGTTCAACTTCTAACTAAATGCTTCAACTTTTTGACACTATTTATATTTCATGAGTTTAAATTTCCCTCTTAAAAACTTACATTTTGAAACTTTTTTTTAATATTAAAAAAACTTCAAACAATAAAAATTTAAAAACTTTAAATCCAAACTTTTCATAAACTTTCTTTTTACTCATTTTTTTCTATCTCTAAAAGCAATTTTAAAATTTTTTCTCCAATAAAAATTTAAACTTATCACTCACGAACAATACAAAAAAAGTAAAAACTCTTACAAGCTAACCCCAAACATGCTCTAAATGTACTTGCTAATTTCTTTATATATGCAATATTTGCCGGTAATTGTTAGCCTTCAAATATACTATATCACAATAGATTAAGATATTCAAATCTTATCAGACAAAGTAAAATCCTAAGATGGTTTACAATTTAGAAAGATAAATATTGTGCCAAACATATAAGCTTGTCTTGTTATAAAACTTAAAGATAGTAGAAATGGTGTTTGCCTGACTAAGATCTAACTGTTGAAAAACTTAATATAAATTTTGAGATAAGGTAACGATTCAAAAAGTTACCATTGAATTACAAAACCATATAAAAATATTTTTGGGTTAAACAATCCTAGAGGAAGATGTAATGATACAACCACTTGGCAACCAAACTCTCTTTGAATTATAGCTTAAGTACAGTTGGGGTAAACATTACTTTGAACAAAAAGGAGCATGTCACTAACTTTGCTTTCACCATTTAGAAAAAAATCTAAGTTATGATCTTATTGTGCATCGTCTCATGCATAAATGCACATTCTTATGGATGCATACAAGTATGTATGTGGATATGCATCTCTTCATGCCAGATTTTTATGTGTACATTTGTATACATTTTTTAATTCTAAGTAAAAAAATTTTCAACATTATTGGCAAGAAATTGGTTTTGTAATACTTACTTTAAGAAGACCAACAAAGGTATCATCACTTAACCTCATTGGAAAGAAACGTGACAATGCATGACAAGCCCTTCAGTTCAAAATAAAAATATGAAGCATTAGTTGCTGAAAAGGTAAGTAAACAAATGTATGTTGAGCTCCTATTGAGCCAACAACGTAGAATGGAATCAATACTTAGTTAACCTTGGGCTTTGTGAGAGCCTAAGATAACAAGAAATGATATGTTGTAGTAGCCGGGGAGAGGGTTCCTTAGCGAGGTATTCCACCATGTTAGCTAAAACATGACCCACTGCATAAAATCGTTCCGCAATACGACAACAATATTGTAGCCCTTCATGATGCATTAGAATCTTATGAATTATGAATGTGGCCACCTGTAGAGCCTAACGTATTAATATGAAAAATACAACAATGAGAATATTATAAAAATATTCATTAATGAAACGTCCGAGTATTCTTTATTATGATATTGTTAATACTCTTAATTTATACAATTTGGTCCCTCTAATTACATATAAGGTGTTGTTATGAATTATGCTTTTTTGGACACATTAATTTTTTTTTTTTTAGTCTAATAAATACCATTTGAAACACAAACACATATATGTATATGTATTAAATTTATGTAAAATAGATGGTATGCAGTATAATCTGGTATGCAACATATATAGACCATACTAGGTACATATACATTGCTTTATATTCTTTTACCTTCTTTGTTTTTCCTACCTCTTCAATGCTACAAAATCCATGCTTTCAGCAACAATCAGCAGTTCATGAAATTTAAGTTCAACTGTTCAAATACAAAACTTTTTAACTCTTTCTTTTATTCTTAATTCTTTTAAGCTTCAGCTTACCAAAAGAGCATAATAGGCAGATGTTCCAAATTTGTCCCAAATAACATTGTCTAACAGGTTGAATTGGTGAGGTTTACAACTTTCCTCATCAAAATAATTTGTTCCACAATAAACAAGTTAGTAGAGATATATCTAATGGATTTCGCCTTCAAACATACACTTTATCATAATCATACTTGATTATACAATAAAATGATTACTATTATTTCTTAAACTTAAAACATATCCAGCATGTATGCCTTTCAA